CGAAAAACCTCAGGGGGGGGCGGATATCCGCCCCCCCCCGTCGGTGCGCGGGTTATAAGACCATCAGGTACGGTTTAGGTCACTTTCTGGTGGAGGTCAGGTCAAGGTCAGATCAAAAAAGGTCAAATTTCAAAGTTGATATTTTTGCATAAAATGGTTATTGATTCGATGCAGCTCGTCACGGGGAGTCTAATGGTGATTTTTGTTTTGCACTAGCCACTACGAGGTCTAGAATTGCTAAAAATTGAGTTTGAAAATTTGACGTCATTAATTTTTAACAGTTTTTTTCGCTAAAACTTGGCCAAAAAAGAGGCATCGATCTCAAATTTGGTAGGTATGTAGATAGAAATTGGTAGGGGCTATCACATATATTCTGGGTTTTTTTCGAAATTCAAAAAACTTTTTGGATTTTTCGGCTATAATATTCAAAAAAATTATTTTTTTTTTTAATTTTTGGGGGTCAAAATCCAGAAATTTCAAAAATCCGAGATAGCAGATTTGTAGCCTTCCTAATTTTACACCTCTTATTTTCGAAACATTTTTCTGTATCTCTAAAGCTGTAGGCCTGACAGCTCTTCCCGCAAAACCTTTTTTTTTGGTCGAAAATGGCAGAAATGACGTCACTCTGACGTCATTAGCGGCCAACCTATCATAGCCTTTGGAAAAAGTTTTGGTCACAATATGCAATAGCTATTCACGGGAGGGTACTGAAAGTTTGGTGACGATCGGCGCAGCGGTTCTCGAGATATATCGAGAAAAAAAAACTAAAGGGGGGCAAAAAATGTCCCCCCCCCACCGCCTGGTAGGTGGGGGCCGGCACAGGGTTAACCCTCGCCCGTCTAGGGGGGGTCGAACGGACCCCCCCATGGTTTTTCGCGAATAACTCGCGTAAAAAGCGGCCGATCGCGACGAAACTTTCAGTACCCTCGCGTTAATCAATTTTACACGTACCCTGAAAATTTCATGACCCTGACCCCAATGACCTTTGACCTGTGACCTACTTTTCGAGACCATGTTTGGCCGGAATCGCGATTCGGCGTATGTCGGCTCGCATTAGCCGCGCGTTTGCAGTCTTTTCGTGGTTTCAAGCGTTCAAACATGTGATATGATGTTGCCCCCATGCATTAGGGTGGGTGTCAAGGTCACCTGAAGGTCAGGTCAGGTCATTGACCTTTGGTGACCTCGGTTCACTTTTTCGAGTTTTACATGTTTCTAGGCCAGTTTTTGGAGCTGAATTCGAATTTAGCAACCATATGAACATTTACGAAGTAGTTTTGGTGCCTTCGTAATATGTTACGAAGCTGTCAGAGGCGGTTGACACCTACTAGGAATACCCGGCAGGACCCCTACTGGTTGACCTGACCTGACCTGACCCGACCTGGACTAAATGCATGAAGACATCATCTGTGATCAAAACTAACATGATATTCGTGATCAGCGCCCCGAAAAACCCTATAGCAGCCACACTTTACGACGTTTTAACAGGTCCCAATTTTCCGACTTTTGGATCATTGACCTGACCTGCAAGGTCAACCAATGACCTAGGACCTTAAAATTAGGTATCATCGGCTTCCTCTCGTCACGGGCAACACGCTCGTTTTTTCCGCGAAGCTCTAGCTCGATCAGGGGCGAAACGGCAAGGGGGGGGGTCCAACGTCCAACGGACCCCCCCCCCCCCTTATACGTTCGCGGCTGGAAAAACACCAATACGGGCGAGGGTTAAGTCACGGGGGATGCACCCCCTAATTTTTTTTTCGCGAATAACTCGCGTAAAAAGCGGCCGATCGCCACGACACTTTCAGTTCCCTCGCATTGATCAATTTTACACCTACCCTGAAAATTTCATGACCCTGACCCAAATGACCTTTGACCTTCGACCTCTTTTCCGAGACCATGTTTGGCCGGAATCGCGATTCGGCGTATGTCGGCTCGCATTAGCCGCGCGTTTGCAAGCTTTTCGTGGTTTCAAACATTCAAACATGTGATTTGATGTTGCTCCCATACATTAGGGTGGGTGTCAACTGTCAAGGTCACCTGAAGGTCAGGTCAGGTCATTGACCTTTGGTGACCTCGGTTCACTTTTTCGAGTTTTACATGTTTCTAGGCTAGTTTTTGGAGCTGATTTAGAATTTAGCAACCATTTGAACATTTACGAAGTAGTTTTGGTGCCTTCGTAACTTGTTACGAAGCTGTCAGAGGTGGTTGACACGTATAACGAATACCCGTCACGAGTCCACACGACCCCCACTGGTTGACCTGACCTGACCTGACCCGATCTGGTACATCATCTCTGATCGAAACTAACACGATATTCGTGATCAGCACCCCGAAAAACCTCATAGCAGCCACACTCTACGACTTCTAACAGATCCCGATTTTCTCGATTTTCGGGTCATTGACCTGACCTGGACGGTCACCCGAAGACCTAGGACCTTAAAATTGGGTATCATCGGCTTCCTCTCGTGACGGGCAACACACTCGTTTTTTCCGCGAAGCTCTAGCTCGATCAGGGGCCAAACGCGAGGGGGAGGGGTCGTACCAACCCCCCCCCCTTGTGCCGTCGAAGGACGCAAAATGGCCTGTGCCGGCGAGGGTTAACCCTCGCCCTGGCAAGGGGGGTCGATACGACCCCCTAAGGTTTTTCAAAGATAGCGTAAAAACGGCGGCGCGCAGTACCGCCAAATTAGGCAGAGCCTATGGGGAAACCTTTTTACACATGAACTGAAAATTTTAGGCCCGGGTGACCCTGGGTCAGGTCACCAGGTCAGAAAAACCGGTACAAGGTCATGGTCAAATTTCAATTTTCTTTATGCACCTGTCCAACTCACAGTTTTTCACTGATTCCTTTAAACTTTCAGGATGCGCTAAGTTAACCGAGTTGTATAACATATATGTAGTTCGGGTTTTTTGACGTTACTGGCCTGAGGTAGTTAGAGGTCATCACGTCGTAATGTTAAGTCTATGAGAGAATACTAAATTCAGAAAATACTGGAGATATCCGCTTCGTTCTATCACTTTTGTGCTTTGAAACCACAGTACCTACTTAACAGCCGGTCACTTGGTGCTTCTCTGTTTGGTGTAGGTACTTATCCATGGGTCAGGTCAGATGCTCATCTGACCTCAAGGTCAACTGAAAAAAGGTCCAGCTAATCGTCCAGCTAATCGTTAACTAGAATCAGCGCACACCGATGTTGCGGTTTATATGTATATGCATAGATGTCGCAGCAGTTCTACTTCTCTACCTATATACCGTGGTCGCAGCTATAGCGACACATGCAGTGCAAATGGTAGCAGACAGCAGTAGTTTCCCCTACCGAAGTGGTGGTTTTCTACCACAGATGCTCGTCGAGGTCGGAATTTCCAAATACGCGCGGGGCGCGGGTTAAATTGACTTTTATTGGTATGAAACATCAATCACATAAAATCAAGTGGCTGGAGGAATGTTGCCTACCAGTTACCAGAAGAGTCATTGATGCAGCAAAACAAGACAGAAATAAAAAACCAACTCTTGTTTCCGCTACGATCCGAGCCTTGATGAGTGATTGAACATGTCACCATTTCTTTCCAATAAATTAACCTCTGCTATACTCTGTTCCGTTTCAAGCTTGCAGCCGAAGTGCCCTGCTGAAAGCAGTGCGTGATTTCTGTATATATAGCTCTTACATTTTAGACGCAAATTCTTGAGCGGAGGAGCGATCTGCCGAAGAAACTCCGACTGCTAGCTTGATATGGAACAGACTATAGAAATTAGCAATCTTCCCTTCGCCTGATAGGAGCTGAGTATTAGAAGGAAGTTCTCTTCGATTTCAATGCCAGTCTGGCTGAAATGTTGGAACGCTAATGTCCCGTTATTCCCGTGTGTCCGACATAATGTGTTCGACAAGGGAACTGATATCTGCAAAACCATCAAGTGCAGAATACCATTTATGGAAAATGAGCGCCCTAGAACGCATTCATGCATCAACTATTGGAAAATTTACCGCTGCATTTCTGATGCTCTTATGCTTCGTTGGTATATTTAATGCATGATTCTGTTCGAAATAGCACCTCGGAGCTTCTAGATGTGGTGTTAAGGACGTAACAGAACAAACTCTGTATGCTGAGTCTGACTAGGGAACATGGGTATGTACGAACATATGGACGCAGCTTATATCCATGTCATATGTATGTATATCCTAATTCATCATTGCAATTACTCACCAAACTTCCCATACTCTCATACTCGACGTCAACATCCGCCGCCATTGTCGCCCCTGCCCGAGGAATATCAGGCATGCTTCCCGGGAAATTCGGCCAGCTCTTTCAAGAGAGCCGGGCGGCAGTCGGATGCGCCGCGTATCCTGTGAAGAGCTGCAGGCTGGGAGACCGGAGAGGTCGGCCTCTCTCCTGCCGGGGCCCGGCGTCGGGCCGGTCGGAGGCGCCGTATGTCCTGAAGGGCGGCAGGCCGGGGTTGGTCGGCCCTCTCTCCCACCCAGACCCAGCGGGGCGGTGTGGTGTGTCCTGAAGGGCGGCAGGCCGGGATCGGTCGGCCCTCTCTCCCACCCAGACCTAGCGTGGCGGTGTGGTGCATGTCCTGAAGGGCGGCAGGCCGGGGTTGGTCGTTGTTCGGCTTCTGCCAGCGCCCTGTCACGCCATTCGCTAGTGAAGCCAGTTGGCTAACTGAAATCTGCCGCCGTTATGAGTCCAGTTAGGGGCGAAACGGCCCCCATGGCGATGATGCATGGCAGTGTGACATGCAGCCGTCGGCCGCTGCCACTGCGGGTCGGCGGGAGGTGACAGCCGACACCTCGATTGGTGATGGGGTGGCCGGTGACATTTCTACCGATTATGGAAACAGTTGATGTCTCAACTGATGTCCACCATTAGTCAGGACTCAGGGTGTGGGCTGACAGCTCCTCTACATTTCGCCTTTGTTGCATATGATATGAAGGAAACAGGATTGTGTCCTATCAAACCATCCCATCATTCAGCAACTTTTTCTTCCATTAATGGATGCCATAGAAGAACAGACCATACCTATATTTCACAGGTCGCCAACTCACAACCAGTAGGTACATTGTACTAACATCATACACACATTATGCAGCTAGATCTACAAACCACCAGCTTATCATGGCCGTGTCATTTCATCTAATGCGACTAGCTCCAGTTCCAATATCAACACGACTGTGAGCTGGCTCGACTTGCGGCCATCATAACGCAATATTGACTCGGGTAAACAGAAACATCCCTTCCATCATTGCACCACCATATGATATATGTAAATGAGACAAAATATGTCAGCTGAGCAGAAAGGATAGGTACGAATAGTAAAGGCATTGTTATGAGTAAAATAGCCCTTGTTTATTGCTCGTTTTGTTGTAGACCTAGACATAGGTAATGCTTTCATCTAGTGCTTGGATAATCGGGATAACATTATTTTCTTCAGGGTCGCCCGGGTAACCAACCATTCTATCGTCAACATACCAACATTCAATGATGGGCGGAGTGAAATATTTCGTTGTTCCATCTCTTCCAGGCAACATTTCTCTATCCCTTATCACTCTCTTCCCGAGTGCCACTCTTTCCACTATTCCTCGCCACGGACACAGCTCGCCACACCCCTACCACACACAGTGCCACTACCAGCAGCCCAGTCGCCGCCGCCGCCGCCGCCAGCCCGCCCAGCCGGGTAGCCCCCAGCAGTCTGCTGCGCCCCGTGCTGTCCAGGGTCCTCACCAGCGCACATCTACCGTCCGGGGGTTCCGCGGGCGGCTCGGCCGGCTCGCCCGGCTCCGGGGGACGGGCGCGACCCTCGGCTCGCAGCCACCGGCCGATGGCCGTCACGCAGACCCTGTACGCGGTGTCCGCAGTCAGTCCAGAGAGTCGGTAGGTGCGCCGGCTCCCCGCGAACGGGGCCGTCTCGTGGTGCTCCCCGGCCGGCTGGGTGCCGTGGTGGAGCACGCGGAACCCCAGGATACCGGCCTCGTCGTCCGCCTGCCAGGAGACGAGCACAGAGTGCGGCTGGATGTCCTGCCGACAGAAGGTGAGAGGTGATTTATTATTCAGGCACAGCAGTGTTGTTCATCACGCCGCATTGCTATGTTGGAGTAGAAATTTCTGGAATCGGTTATGCATTCTTGATGATTTTGTTTTTCTCACGTAACGTCATACTATAGATACTTGAATATGATTGGCTCCCCCATTTCATGTTATCGCTGTCAACTGACCTGGATGGCGATTTTCTGGACGGGTGAGTGGGGACAGAAAAAGGCAGAGCTGGAGGGAGTGAGCTGGCGGCCGCGCAGCTTCTCTGGTGTCCAGCAGGTGGCGTTTGACCGCTGCAGCAGCCGCGGGTGCCGCTGCAGCCAGCTCCACAGCTGTCGCAGCTGGCAGCTGCAGTGCAGCGGGTTCCCTGGAAAGGGCAGCCGAGTGATCGGACCACGCTTGGTAAACACTACATCAGTCTTATTTTCTATTGTTTAAATGTTACCGTGTTCTGTCTTTTGAAAAGACATGCATTCATATTTCTAGCCAAAACAATTCCATACAATTATTTGCTCCATAAAAAATTACTGATATCTTTATATCTATTTTCAACAAGAGAATCACGTCCCGTATTCCAACGGGTTTTACAATGTAGCTGGAAACTCTGAAACCTTGAAGTATAAAATGTAGCAGGTGACACATCCTGGCAAATCCCTGACCTGCTAGATCCAGCAGGCTGAGTGTGGGCTCCAGTCCCTCCAGCAGTCTCAGCGGCAGCGTCTCCAGCGCGTTCTCCTGCAGCTCCAGCCGGCGGAGGCTCCCGAGACCGTCCAGGCTGCGCGCCGCCAGTCTCGGCAGCCAGTTCCGGCCGAGTCTCAGCCGCCGCAGCTCGTCCAGCTCCGCCAGCGCCCCCGGCTGGAGCTCCGTCAGCGTGTTACGTGACAAGTCGAGGTGCCTCAGCCGCGCCAGGTCGGCCGGCATCCGAGGTACCCGCCGCAGTGCGTTGTGGGTCAGGTTGAGGTGCCTCAGAGAACGAAGACCTCGCAGTCGCTCGGCCGGGAGCAGCTCCAGGTCATTGTGCCCTAGGTCGAGGCTGTGAAGATGTCCCAGTCCGGAGAAGGCGCCGGGAGAGACGCGGGAGATGCGTCCGTGGCAGAGTCGCAGCTCTCGCAGGCCGGGGAAGCCGCGCAGGTCCATAGAGGCGATTCCGGTCAGATGAGAGTGGCAGGCCGAGAGGTGGCGCAGGGCCGGAGCGTGCGCGGCGCGGCGCTGAGACGCGTCCAGCAGCTCCCGCAGAGGGTTTCCGGTGAGGTTCAGGGTGCGCAGGGCGGGCAGGGAGCCATCCGGGACCATCGAGGGCATAAGACGCAGCCGGTTCCAGGAAAGGTCGAGGGTCCGCAGGCTCTGGAGCCGAACACTGACGGACGGCAGTTGACGCAGATGGTTGTTGTGTAGGAGCAGAGTATGCAGATGAGGAGTCCCGACGAATGCCAGGCCCGAAATGTGGGAGATGCGGTTACGAGAGAGGTCAAGCGAACGCAGTTCGGGTAGATCCGAGAACGTGTTGGAGAAGAGGGAAGAGATGATGTTGCCGCTGAAGTTTAGGAACCTTAAGTTGAACTGATCGGAAATGGATAAGTTCTTGACATGATTAAAGGGGAGAGACAGTGACTGAAGCTTTGGCATATTCCTAAAGAGCGATGAATGAATCGTGCTAATGCGATTAAATCCAAGTTTTAATGTTTGAATATGCGATTTAGGCTGGATAATGCTGTCATAAAGATTATGCAAGTTTACTGACTCCAGCTCAAGCAACTGGAGCTTGGTTAATAAAAATGGAGAGCTCGATTTCCCTAGGAGACGTAGGTCTGTGTTTCCTGACATTAACAACTTCCCTAACGACAATGGCAGCATAAGTTCTGGATTTAGATGTGTCATCAGATTATCGCGCAAGTCCAGCAGTTCCAGGCTCTTCAACTGTCGAAACGAGCCCTCCTCAATATATGCGATCGCACATCGTCGCAGAAAGAGCTGTCTTATCGGCAGATTTCCGGTCATCATGGCTCGCCTTATCTCTCCCAGCGGGTTGTCGGCCGCATTCAGCTCCGTCAGGCGCATTAGGGCGGCGAAGGAGCGCCGGCCCACGGTCGTAATGTCATTCCGGGAGATGTCGAGCCGCTCCAGTCTCCGGAGACCGCGGAACGTGCCGGCATCGACCCGCGCCAGCCTGTTGCCGGCCAGCTCGAGCGCGGAGAGCCGGCCGCAGCCGACGAACGTGCCGTTCGCTAGGTGCGACAGCCGGTTATCCTGCAGGTGGAGCCGGCGGAGGCGTGACATGCGCGAGCAAGTTGTCGGCGACAGGCGGCTGATTTCGTTGTGGTTTATGCGAAGGACTTCGAGCACTGGGAGCTTGCTGAGTGCCTTTTCGGGGAAGGTACTTAGCTGGTTGTTATCTAGTTGGAGCGAGACGAGATCTGAAGATTCACGGTCGAAGTGCATGTCAAAGTTCTGAAGTTGATTGCCATGGAAATTCAAATACTGCAAAGTTGGCCATCTAGTTAGCGTGGAAGACTCGACAAACTTAATGTGATTTCGCTGAAAATGCACTTCCTGGAGACTCGTTAGCCCGACAAAGTCGGCTGAACGAATCACAGATAGCTGATTGTTTTGCAGCCTCAATGTCACTAGACTAGTCAGCTGAGAAAAGATTCCCTCGGGTAGACTATCGAGTTCATTATTATCCAGACTCAGCGTGGTCAATCGCCAAATATTCTGAAAGACACGAGCGGGTAGTGAATGCAGCCGATTGTGGCTCAGCTGGAGCTGCAGCAGCTCTCCCAGCCGTGAGAACGCGAGCTCGTCTAGCTCGGTGATGACATTGTTTTGCAGATTGAGCACGGACAGACGGGAAGTGTTGAAGAGGAGACGGCCTTCCAGTCGCTGGAGGCTGTTGTCTGCTAACAGCAGCTCGGACAGCTGCGCCAGTCGGGACAGCAGGCGCTCCGGTAGGTCGTGCAGGTGGTTACCGCTGAGGTCCAGCACACGCAGCTCCCCACAGGACCACAGGAGACTGACGTTCACCGCAGTCAGTCGATTTCTGCTCAGATCCAGCACTTCCAGCCGGGTGAGGTTTGTGAGGGCGGCGGCGTCTAGTGACGTCAGCCGGTTGTCGTGGAGGGAGAGCCAGGTGAGGGATGGAAGCGCTGCCAGTCCATTCTCCGGCACCGCCTGCAGCAAGTTCTTCGCCAGGTCCAGCGACTGGAGCCGGCTAAGCTGACTGTACCCGGTTGCAGACAACACCACGATTCGGTTACCGGCCAAACCGAGCCTCTGCAGAGCTCTGAGATGGCGCACTGCCCGAAACGGCAGCTCCTTCAGCAGGTTCTTCGACAGGTCCAGTTCCTGCAGCGTGTCCTCCAGCCCTGCGAAAGCGTACTCCATCAACTCCTCAATGATGTTATTCCTGAGATTCAGTCCAATAAGTGCCAGGCCGAACAGTTCGTAGCTCATTAGACTACTGATAAGGTTCCCCTCGAGGTTAAGTCGCGCCAGCTCCGGCAGCGACAGCAGCGCCGACTGCGGCACGCGCTCCAGCAGGTTGTGGGGCAGCGACACCCGCTGCAAGGAGTCCGACGCGCCGGCGAAACAGTTGTCGTGCAGTAGGCGCAGGCCCGACCGAGCCACGCGCAGCTCATGGAAGCTGGTGTTGCCGAGGAAGTAGGGCGGCAGGAGGGCGGCGGCTGACCTCAGCCGCGTCACCCGCACAGAGCTGACCGCTCCCGAGGTCACGGACAGCGTGTGACGCAGCTCGGCGCCGCTGGCAGCCTGACAGGTCACCAGGAGGCCGGCGCGGCCGCCCAGGGCGACCACCGAGCACGGGCCGGGTGTCGTATGGGTAAAACCACCTCCACCGGCCGACCAGGCCATGCACAGCAGCGCCGCCCAGTGGAGACATCGCATACTAGTCGGCCGGGACGACCGTCACCGGCTGCAGCTGCGAACAAAAAGGCATTTGCTGATCACCTGTATTTATGTATTGTTTTGCATTCGATCGCAGGCCTCTGTACTCCTACGTTTGCGAGGTTTATGAGGCAGTTATGTAACAGAGCTGTTATCTTTCGAAATGAGTGAGATAAATTGATAATGTTATACGTGAACTCGAACTTCGACATGGAATTAGATCTAACTTTGATACAAGTGCTTTCCCAACACGCTAGCTCGCCTAACTTTCCTTATCTGGCATTCTCATCGTGCGCGTCACCTGGAGGATGGAAAGAAGCTTATGTTGTCGTGTCTAAAAGCGCACATAGTCGAGAAGAGACTTTTGGATGCAATGCACTTATTTCACATACGTACTTCGTGATACGATTTATCTATGATAAATTAGGCGCAAAATATTTCGTAGAATAGGTACTATGCTACATCTCTTTATTCAGCCTAACTCACTTTGTCTTTTCTTCCTTTTGGCGATTATTTTTGGTTTCAGTCTACAGCGTTTCCACCTCGTTACTTGTGTGTGGATAGAAAGAGAAATCCGCTGGTCATATCACCTTTTCAGAGACCAAATCTCGGCCCAATTATTGGCACCATTCCTTCCCGAGGCTGACCGCCGCGTCTGGTGACTTTATTGCCGAGTGGCTGGCTCAACGGCCTCTTATCGGCAGCGACGTCTGATATTGGCCGGGTGGCCTACCGCAGCCGGCTCAGCGGCTCTGTTGACCTCCCCGGCGCTCCCTAATGGGGCCATAACCGGCCGCGCTGCCGCCTCACCGACCACGGCTCTCCGCTCCACTCCCCTCCCTTCTCTCTTTCTCTGTCCCACTGGCGGCTGGGCTGAGCCAAATAGACCGGACACACGGTTCGTCGGAAGGTCATCTCAGGCTCAAAAGAAACAATACGTGCCATTTGAAAGCTTACGGTGAGCTGAATCCAAAAATGTATTTTTTATGAAAATCGATCGATGGCCTTTTTTGAAAATTGCGTTTTTGTAAAAACTTAATAATCTTTTATTCAACGGGCTGTCCCGGACATTCTTGAAAACATAAACATGTATTTTTGAGTTCCAGTGAAAGCTGAACGCCAAAAGAACAATATTTAGCGAAGCAATATTTCCAAACATTAATATGCGTCTCCCACAGCCGAAAATAAGGCCTAATCACACAGCTCAGTGTCACGATGGACCAAAGTCAGCCACACAGAAGCGTGAAATGACCCTTATCGACTCGCAGACCCGGCGCTCTCGGCCCGCCTGACCGGCCACGGAAAGAACGTTCGGCTCTCGTTCTACTAAACAAATGTCAAAGTTGTCAGTTTAACTGTCCACATCGCTATTAAAGCTATTCAGGATACCTGTGAAGAAAATTCATTGTTCTGTCATCTTCACATCATGCATTAATTTGCATCTGTTCATGTCTACTTTGCTCAATTGAGCTTGGTATCATGCCCATATAAGGAAAATTGGCCGCGCTGAAATGTCAGAGGCTGCACCGGCCTCAGCTCGGGTGGAGTGGGGGTAGCGCCCGGCGGGGCAGGGCAACCTTTGACCGGTCGCACGGCCGAGCAGCTGTCACCAGTACAGCCTCTGACAGTGAAACCCCGCTCACTTCCCCTCCGCGGGCACTGATCGCAGCTGGATGGAACAAAACATGTATAAGAAAAATGTAAATTAAAGCATGTTGTAAATCAAGCAGAACAATGAATTTTCTTCACAGGTATCCTGAGTAACTTTAATAGCGATGTGGACAGTTAAAGTGGCAAATGTTACATTTGTTTAGTAGAACGAGAGCCGAACGTTCTTTCCGTGGCCGATCAGGCGGGCCGAGAGCGCCGGGTCTGCGAGTCGATAAGGGTCATTTCACGCTTCTGTGTGGCTGACTTTGGTCCATCGTGACACTGAGATGTGTGATTGCGCCTTATTGTCGGCTGTGGGAGACGCATATTAATGTTTGGAAATATTGCTTCGCTAAATATTGTTCTTTTGGCGTTCAGCTTTCACTGGAACTCAAAAATACATGTTTATGTTTTCAAGAATGTCCGGGACAGCCCGTTGAATAAAAGATTATTAAGTTTTTACAAAAACGCAATTTTCAAAAAAGGCCATCGATCGATTTTGATAAAAAATACATTTTTGGACTCAGCTCACCGTCAGCTTTCGAATGGTATATACCGTTTCTTTTGAGCCTGAGATGACCTTCCGACGAACCGTGGACAGCCCGCCCCCCGCGAGTCCCCGAGGAATTAGTGACCCCGAGGTCGATAGTGATTTGGTGCGTTGGACGCGGCTGGACCTCGCGCCGCTTACAAATGGACCCTGAAGCCCGTCAGTGCCGCGCCTCCGTGCCACTGTAAGCTCGTTTGGGCTTGGTTCTGTCACACGGACTTAGTGTGACCGGGTTGAAAACAACGCGCCCAAACAGGGAGACGTGAAGGGCAAATGTGTGGCCGAGCTAGTGATGCAAACTTGTTTCATATACCAAAAGTAGCTAGACTACCTGGCGTGCCCTTTTCAGTGAATTTTATCAATATATAAGGTTTTTAACCCACGAGCCGCTGGAGGGGGGGGGGGACATAAAGTTGCCCTCCTTTACGTTTTGTAGAATATATCCGAAACCTGATGAGCTACGAACGTGAAACTTGGCATAGCTTCAAATGAATGCCTAGACAATGTTAGAAGGAATTTGGTGGTTGTAGCACTTAAGATGACGTCACAGTAACGTCATAAAGTTTTGTCGTTTTCCGATATGGACCGTTTCTGATGTCGCTGAGCATGAAACTCAACCGTAAATGAGCTGGACAGCACCTGCTGTCATCCTAAAATATCGTAGACTTCCAACTAGTTCCTGACCAATAATCGGTCCTTTATTCGGTCTCATATATCGAATATATCGTGAGGAAACTGAGAGTCGCAAATCCATAATTTGACTTCTGACGTCACTGTGACGTCATTTCAAATGGGATCGACACCAAATTGAGACACAATCTTGGCTAGGTATTCAGAAAGATGTGTGCAAAGTTTCGTTTCTCTATCTTCTCGCGTTGCTCGTCGCAGAAGTAAAGGGGAGGGGGCAACTATATCCCCCCAGCGGCCGGCGGGTGGCGCGGAGGCCCAGCGGCCGCCGTAAAGTTAGGTACTGTTATCAGTTATAAATGTTTAACCATAATGTTTGGTATGCCCACTTTCATTTTTGCCATTTTTTGCCATTTTTTTAGCGTAGGTACCTTTTCAACGCCTTTCCTGCCCACATTATCATATTTTTATTTTTCGAACCATTTTTTGTGAACCTATGTTTAAAGCTTCTAGTTCTATATTTTCTCGCAGAACTTGTCTTTCAAACACACAAAATACGCATTTATGTCAGCATATTTGCAAGACAACTTGCTGTAATTAACAGGTAGATAAATGAGCTGCTTAACGAGGAACAGTACGGCAGCTTCATGATGAAATTGCTTAGCGTGCTCTGAAACCAGCTTAAGCAGCGCACTTGTAGCAAGTGCCGTTGCTTTGTCACGCGTTACCGCTTATGCATCACTCAGTGTCCACATTTTTATGGTTTTCTCTATATATGTATTATATATCTAAATTTTTGCGGACGCTCAATTTCTGCGATTTTTATTCCATTACGGGCCAAGCTTATTAAAATCATGGCTTTCAGTGCTAATTCAATTCATCAACGCGACGCCAATCTGTATAGGCAAGGCGACGAGCGGGGTCAGAGGAACAATGTGTGCCGGAATCGGGATCTGCACCGGATAGGCTCTCTCCTTCCTTATTGGGAGCCCAGCGCGCCCACGCTCGCGGCCTAATTTCATTTGTTATCTGCTGATGGTATCTTTCTGTGCGGCGCAGACCTGACAGAAATGCTGTCGCGGGATTGGTAAAGGAAGTGCTGGCAGTAATGCAGGGAAGACGCCTGGACAAAACGGATCACGTTTCCTCCACTTCAACAAAATAGCATCTTCTTGGGCTCGATTTGATAAAAGTTCAAGATGACTTATACACGTACGCTAAGACCTTTAAAAGAAATTTAGGTAGCGTTTCGATTTTTGGATCGTGCAGCAAACAAATAATTATCATAAAGCCAGCACACTGCACTGCTTAAGCGCATTCTTGTTCACGAATCGAACTTGAGTTACAGTTTTTGTCAAAGCGATATGATTAATGTTCCACACTTCCACAGAAATGAAGCATGAATGTCGATATTTTACGGCCCGCTGGCCAGCAAATGCCACCGTCATGTCCACTGAACGTAATCACCCACAAGATAATCATCGGCAGTCACGTAAGTGGGCGTAGCGTAACGACGTCGAACTAATGCATTTCGTGATAACGTGGACAGGTCAGGTCATTTGACTGGCCTGGAGTAGCTATAGATCAACATTGCAAATAATCCATAATGTGAATCCTGGGAAAACATGTTTGTGGTGCCATTTCAGTACTACGAACTAAAATGCAAACTAATTACGAGTTTATTTTAATCGTCATTTGATGCATCCATACATATATTCAATAATTGATAAATAGTTTTGACTTTTGAGCCTTGAACGCAAATGTCATAGCTAGCGTTCCCTACTAACATAGGCAGCCAAAATACGTTTCAATGAATTAATTCACAGCTGCCTTTCTCCTGCCTCGATGTCAGAGTGACTGCGGGCCTTGAGTGACTGCAGCCAGTCCGCCGTCCTTTGAGCGGCTGACACTGCCGCCAGCGCGCTGTCAAACTCGCATGACATTTGCTGGGCGCGATGCACCGCGGTGTGTCCCCCGGGGCGCCGCGGTCGGCTCGACGCTGAAATATTTGTTACCGCCGCCGTCCAGTGGACGCTGCAGCAATCAATGGCCATATGACGGGCCCGGTCGTCAGGCAACCGGCTCAAACAGCCCAAGCGCCGTTAGCTGCCTGGCCATCCGCCGAGTTTAAACGTCAGACTCGGTGGGCAGTCACATAAGCTCAGTGGTCAGTTATGGAAGATATGGTCGCTGTGGTGAATACTAAATGCATATGGAACATGTGCACTTGATGATTACATTTTTATCCGCATACCAGCTCTGAACGGTTTCTTTTGGTGTATGCACAAACCAAACAGTTTTTATCAGTTTAAGCTCAAATGAAAATTTGCGTTTCTTCTATTGACACCGTTTTAACCCTCGCCGGCCGAGGGGGGGGGGGGGGCGGGTGCCGCCCCCCCCATAGGGTTTTTTTCGCGATAGCTCCGAACACGCTGGCGATAGAGAGCTGAAACTTGGCATACCTGACCTTTGATCCAAGCCGCATCTTTTGACACCAACCGCATTTTTGGGTCAGGTCAGGTCACTGACCTATGACGTCATAAGTGAACCTCTGCACGGTCTTCAGATGTCGCAACTTCGCAACGCCCTCACTGCCAGAGGAGATGTCACAGGGAAATGAAACTTGCAGGATCTAGTATCCATTATGAGTCCCACAACTTGTATATCTCGGATTTTTCCTAAAGGTCATATGAGGTCAGGTCATTTTCGTGACCTCACCATTATAAGTCAATGGGGAAAAATGAAAACTGCTATTCTGGCGCCGGGAACGATCTCCAACTATCTCAAGCACACAGAATCGTGATTTGATGCACTCCTTGCAAGGTTAGATGCGTCACTTTTGCAATGTTGACCTTGCGTGATGTCATTTATGACGTCATCAAGGTCATATTAGTTTTTCGTCAATAACTCTTGATCAAATTGAGCTAGCGAGTCGGAAAAGCCACCAATGGACTCAGGAAGACCTGCCGAATCGAATGATATGCGACATGACCTCTTTCGACCAACTTCGTGACCTGGGGGTGCTGACCTGACCTTGACCTGAGGTCAACACCCCAAGTTGACCTGACCCGGACAAAAAGTATACCATTCGACGCGCCTGAGCGAGACGAACACGATGCTGCCAAAATCGGCGCTCTGCGGCCGTTTTTTGCGAAGTTATTCACCAAAAACTGAACCGTACCCTGGGGCACTTGACCTGACCTCAGAGGTCACCGGTTGACCTAGGACCTTAAAATCGGGTACCAATCTCTGCGTCTCGTAACGGCGCACACGCTCGTTTTTTCCGCGACGCGCTAGCTCCACCAGGGGCGAAACGGCGAGGGGGGAGGGTCGTACCCGCCCCCCCCCCCCCTCGGCCGGCGCGTATGTAGAAAACCAATAGGTCCGGCGAGGGTTAACCTGTTCAAGACCAAGCATACGTAATGCAACATAAGATGAAAAATGTCTCAAAGCTGAGCAGACAGGTTGCAGCATAGCGAGCGAGTGCATCAAAAAGTTGGCATAGCCTTTTACCCGCCACATGACGTAAACCGTAAATTGAGATTGACATTTATTCATTTTTTTTAACCTGTTAGCAACGAAAAATTTCATTCACATGGTGCAAATATCATCTGCTTCGCATGCTGATGTAGTGGACGTGTTCCACTCCCACATCCTTGACCTCACTATCCGCGACTATTGACGGATAAGCCCTGCTGTCCGCAGCCACCGGAGCCGACCTTTCCACGCGCCGGGCGGCGCTGTCCGGCTGGCCTCCGTCAATACAGTCGCTATCTGATCCCCTGCTGCTAACCGCGCCGTGCGCATAATACGGCCGACCGCAGGCTAATCAATCAGACCGCGCCGCGGCGAGTCCGCTTCGTCAATACAGCGGCGCTACTGTGACCGCGCCGGCCAGGTCACATAGTGGGCGTAACAACGGTGACGGCGGCACGTAATGGGTCGCACGGAGCCACTCGTGGACACGGACAATAGCGCCGAGCGCTCGGTGACACGAAGGGACTCACGCTAGCGCTGCCAGGCTGAGCATGCATCTCTGGTGCTAAACAGAATTACTAGAGACACGGTAAATGAACCATTCATGAAAAGTGGTAAATGTGAAAAAGCCTCGTTGGACACACTGATGGTTATTAAAACGCGTATCCACCGCCGAGTTGAATCAAAATTAATCCTGCAATGTCATTATTCAACATAGAAATCCCGGATCTTGGTACAACGATATGTTATCGTGTGCTATGATACCTTCGCGTATTGGTAAGCTTTTATTTGAAGGCCGTCTTGGGGTTCATTTCTTATGCATCATACCTATATACTTGTGTTCCACAATGGCTAATCTTTGCCTTGTATGGATGACGTTGATAGCTGTTGAGCATTGTCCTCTGCATGCAAAAGTGGCCAATGAGCTGATATCATTGAGTCGGCGCATAAGGATTGCTATTGATATTTTACGGTTGCGCTTTTAGAGCACCATTTTGATCTTTGCAAGTTTTTATTATTTTCTTCGCCTGTGAGATACCTGGCCTGACCGGCCTGACCTGAGCTCTCACCGGCTGCTGACTATCTGCAGCGAAGGGTGAACTTTCAAAAAAAAAAACAAGACTTCCATTTACTGCATGACGGCTCAGCTTATTAAAAGTTTCAAGCAATGGTGTCCACAGGTCTGCACAATGCACATATACTTTTTTCTATTGTGTCAATTTTACAACACAATCATTCGATCCCAATTTTGACAGATCTATGGAATGCTTAGAAAGTTGGTGACATAAGACCTCATTTGTTTCATACTCGAATTCAAAATACGGTTCAGTGAACATGAAGCCTCTTTTGAAATAATCCTTTTATAGACCCTAGAAAGTTTAACAGATGTAGAAGCTTAGCAGAGGTCCTATCAGCCACCCCTCTGCCGGCGATGGTTAACCTCAGTCGTTTGGATAATAAGCCGGTGTTTGTTAGTTCGTCAACAATTATAACGGATGTATAATTTTGGCCATTTCTTTTATCAGGTCAATATCATGGTGATGGTGATGCTCCGATACCTGCTGACTCAAAAGCAATTTGACCCGAAATTGCTAACGTCAAATATTTCATTAGGTCGTGATCATGATTTGTTCAGATAAGACCATGTTGCATATCCGTTTTGTTTGTTACTATCAAACGTCCTTTACTGAGCAACCATGTCTGTTCAAAAGTTATTGAGGAAAAAACTTGACACTTGATGACATTTAATTTTTTTCAATGTCCCCAAAAAACCTCCGCTTAATCGTAAAATGTGGGACCATTGATGCATTGCGATGCTCCTCACCAGTTTGCGGGTCACGACTCGACGGGCGGCGGACCACCGACGGCGACGACCACCGTCGCCAGCGACGACAAGAGACCAACTGTCGCGCCCACTCCCGACCGGCCAGCGTCGCTCAGCCCGCGCCGCTGCTCCAGCCGGCGCGGCAGTGCCGCGTCGACAGTCGAGAGTGAGACATAACCGGGGTCTAGAGGAAATGGCTCATCGGGATGTCAATTATTTTAACCATAATTCCGCTGAGGTTGTTGACTGGTCTTAAGATGTATATTAGCTGTGAATTCGCGAGCCTCCCAATAGCAAGGCTGGTGACAGATTCGAATGGTGTCATACGAAACATTCTTGCGGAGGCCGGAGCATAATTCGTAATCATGTTCTGTGAGACATCTGCGTCGCAAAATTAGGCCTACGAAGAGTGAACACAAACAATATTACTTACCTTCTATTGTGCTCTGCAGCAATCCCAGCCCTGTCTCCTCTCGTGTCTTGGCTAGTTCTCTATATACCGTGGGCTGAAGGGGACTCGGCCACTGCCCGGCGTACCTAAATCGGGTCTTTGAGGGACAGCGGACGCCTATTTGGTCCTGCCTATACGGCCTTGGCCCTGCCTATACCTAACACAAGCCCTCCCCTCTGCGGCCACCAGTCAAATGAAGAGCTGCCCGCTGTAAAAAAAGAACAGAATGCCCCATTGCCCATATCATCTCGTCCTGAACTATCCGGCGCCCTAGTCACCGGCTCACCGCACAGCCGCAATTCAACGGCCTCGCGTGCCAGTTCCAGTTCTTTATATTGTTCATAGATGTCTCTGAGCGCATGCGCCTGTTTCATACTGCGCCGCAGCGCTCTAGTGAAATTTCTTTGCTCTGTATCAAGATTACTTCAACGAAGGATATGGTAGCTTCGTATGTAGACAAAAACTGCTCTCTTGTTGCAAACAAGATGCACTTTTTGTTTACATTTTGTTACGTGTTATGCAACGCTTGAAAGGCTTGAATGCGGTCTCACTGATGATCACGGTCATAACTGATGATAATTTTACACTGTTTGTTGGATTGAGTTAAAAACCTTCAGGGGAGCGGTTTGGTAAATTGGTAAGTTCCCCGTTTTTCGACCTAACCATCCGAGTATCTTTCTTGAACAAATTCCATATCGCTCTTCAGTTCGGTCGATTTGCAAATTGAAATGGCACACAAGGTTTCAGCCTTCAGGTTGAGTTTCTATTTCATTGAATTAAGCTCATTATGTTAAGAACTTTCTATTAAAGAGTAATGTGGCACTTATGGTTTGTCATCATGAGATGCATGGCGGTCGCAGACATGTGCATGGATCCGGGTGAAAGATTTATGGTCTCATTGGAAATGGATTTTAAAGCAGACTGCGCTCTGCAGGTTAGGATCTCAGTTGGGCAAACTAGGCGGCGGGAATCAAAATATGGAGGCATCAAAATATTGATTCTAGTGGGCGGAGCTTTGACCATATATGGGCATAGAATCAATATTTTGATTCAATTTGGGACATTCCCACCTTCAGACGACCCGTTACGGCGGAAATAACCCCCATGACGGCGAGATTTTTTGACAAGTCAATACAAAAAACTTCCCCGCTTCAATTTTTCGCTGCATGGCTATCAGCCGTTTGTCGCGCGTACCTTTACGAATGGCATAAAGATTTCGCCGCCATAATTCAACAAAAACGTGCTGTTAAAACTTGCTCTGTTTATCATTATCGACGAGCCTTTGTAATTTTTTCATAATTTTGTCTAAAATAAAATAAAAAATGCGTTATTTAGTTGTATAATTCATTTATAAGAAATATTCTTTTTCTTTGTATCTAGCCACGATTTCCGGTTCCCGCCATTTCGCGCCGGCGTCGTGGGTGTTCGGATGCAACGTAGTGCTCCCGGTTTTATTTTGTAAAAGCGACCTTTTCTGAAGTGTAAGTAACAATGGATCGTATTTTAAGATACTTTGAAGTGTGCTTTTCAATTTCAGGCATGTGATCTTAACGTTTCTTACCGAAAACTTGTTTTAAGAGATGGTTTTAGGAACATGGCGCGGTAGCGACGTCAGCGGCGCGGGACGCCTTCTCACTCTTCCATTGTCTTTTTAAGCTATATTTTTTTTGAAAATGATGTCTTAGGTGTAGTATTTCAGTGAAATATGATGTACTTTAAAAGTTACGGTATAAATTAGTTACAAGAAGCCTAGTGTTTTGTCTCACATGATAGAATTGTTGGGTGGACTCATGAAATTGGGGCAGTGCATGTCCAGTATTTTACATAATTTGGATGTTTTAGCCTCTGCTTGTGTCTCACTCATCCAATTGTTGCTACAACTTTAATTTGTAGCATTTAAATTTTTTAAGGGCAACTAGGTTATTGACTTGTTCCAAGTTAAGATTGATAGGTCGTAGTGCATGTTCGTGTTTGCCTTATCAAAATATTGCTAGAAGGCTGATTTTTCGTATGTCTCACACCGGGTATGTAAGCTTGGCTTGTAATTGCTTCGCCCATTTTTGCTACATATTTAATGATGCTTATTTTAAGTGTAACAAAAGCAAGTTGCTGAATGGTGTAAGCCATATTTACATTATGCGTGATCTTCCAGAAAATTGTGTCTAATGTACGTCAGTCCAGGGAATGCTGGATAGTTAATGTTCAGGATTGTCCATGCCAAAGTTAATTTTAGAGGCCAGTTTTATCAACACAAATAGCTGCCTGCTGGAATTGTTTGCCTAAAGACTGCTTCACATATGGAGCATTAACATGATGGGCACGTAAACGGATAGGGCTGTACCGTTCATGCTCTGTATGTGAAGTAACTTTTAGACAAAAAAATCCAGCAACCACCTATTTTTCTGTTGGTACAACTGGCCTCAGATCTACTTTTTTGGCAGAATTTATATAACTGCATGAGATGACAGTTGTTGGCGCACCTGGTGGCGTTCAGTGGAAATTGAAGTGACATTAAGTATTCAATTTTTTATTGAATATATTCTAAAATTAATAGTTGCTGAACAAGTAGAATAATAACACATATAGTTTCCTAATTTATTGCCCACAAATGTCCTAATTATTGTGTTCTGTTGTTTGCTGCAGGTCAACCAACCAAGGATCAAACACTGGTCGTTGCGGGGATCGGCTTCAGAGGGTCAAGGATGGCGTCTTGAATCGCTGTTCAGTCGACAGGCAACTGTATGACAACGCCATCCCTGTCAACCAGAGCGTCGACCGAAGTAGGGCGGCGTTGCGCGGACCTGGCCGCACCCGACCAACCGGTGGAGTACCTGACTCGGGCTGGGCGGAGACTACCTACATCACGACCTTTTGAACTTTGATCTCGTGGCGAGAAACAATATGACGTAAGGAAGTGTGTATGTGGCTGGCGGGGCCGAGGGTGAAATGCGCCACGTGTTTATCTTGCCGGATGACGACAGCGTCACCAACCTGTCAAAGAACGAGCTGGTGCAGCGCGTGCTGACTGCCATCTCGTCCCTAGAACCGGAGTAGAAAAAACGTGCGCATAGCCCAAATGAAGCGAACCAAAACACAGACAGGACTGATAGCTTTTCGGTCGAGAATGTTCTGAAGATGCTCATCAGTAGACCAATTGGTGACCGTTTTCGGTGGTAATATGGGATCTTGTGGTGTTCCAAAGCGACCTGCTTTGGGTGTGGACATAAGTGGCTCAACCTGACCGGATTGATGTTTTAGGTAGCCGTGCTAATCATAAACCCTATATTGAGTGTATCTGTACAAATTTTGTTTATATTTATTTCATGTATTTGATTCGAAACCGAAAATTCCTCGTTGTAATTAGGCAACATCGAGACGTTGAGGTCATTCTCCAGACGTTTATTTGTTTTTACTTACCTGTCCACGGTATGTCTTATTGGTTAGGTCTCAGTTTCAAATATTATTAACTGCATGTTTTGCAAATACGTAGCCATATTGAATAAGAGACGTGTCCTAAAAGTGAGTATTGCTTTGCATGGGATGTGAGCATCAACGACAGGGCTTTGTGATGGCAAAAGTGTGGCAATTGCAGGGATCGTTGTGAAATGTGTTATGAATATCATCGTATTATTTGCGACTGCAAATACATCCGTGTATCATATTTTCATTCAAATTGTGCAATTTGTGCAACGGGCTTGAGTATATTGTTCGGCGAAATATCTTACTGTACTCCACAGAAATGGGACGGGATACAGATGCGTAGAAACACATTCATGAACACGTGAAAGACGATAAGTTAACTTTTTTACTCAAAATCAATGCTACAAAGCAGGGATGTGGAGCCGTGAAAATGTCAGACGGCTTCGGCTCCGGAGGGAAAAATCGGCTCCAGCTCCGGCTCCGGGTAAAATGGTCGGGCTTCGGTTCCGGCTCCGACTCAGTATAACCCCTATACAAAGGTCAGCACGGCTCCCTTCACGCATTCCCTCGAAGGCTTGCAGCTTTGAGCAGGGAGCCAGGGTGAGTGCTGAAAATCCCTGGTCTACCGTGGGAATTAGGTCTAGAAAAAAATTACACGATCCTGTGCTGATAATATCTTCATGAATTTATTGAATTTGCATTATTTACACACAAGAAACATTCCATAAATCAATTTGAAGAGTGAAGTACGTCTGCAGAAAGTCGGTTCGCGAATCAATATATTGATAAACCAGCTGATTTCAGAATCAAGATAATGATTAGCCAGCTGTTTGCGGAATCAAAATATTGATTCTCGCCGGGATAAGCCGCCGTGATGAATCAATATCTTGATTATTTTCAAGACGCTTTCCTAAACTAACCAAAGAGGTTAGGGCTATTGTTTCGTGCCTGGCGGGTAGCTTCAACGTTGTTCTTCATTTTGTGAAGAAACTATCTTGAAAATATAACCGGTTGCTGAAGAATTGACGTTTCTATGATGGTCTGCACGTATGCCCATATATGGTCAAGACTCCGCCCACTAGAATCAATATTTTGATGCCTCCATATTTTGATTCCCGCCGCCTAGTTTGCCCAACTGATCTATAATCCCACTGGATCCATCCTACACATTTAATCTGCATTTATCTCATAGGATCTGATGATAAACCAAGAACATGGATGAGGTCTATGACGATGAGATCATCTGAGTGGATTCCACTATGCACAGCATTGGAAACCAGCTTTCCAAGTTGAAGTGTTTCTTTGTCAATAAGTGCCACAAAACTATGGATTATGATGTGCAATCACATAAAACCTCAAACAGAATGTATGTGAGTTGCAACGAATGATTTTGGGAGGATTCTGAGTTGCCAAAAAGTAAATGAGGATCTGTGATCTCACTGGGTCTCAAGCAAAAAATTATGCTTGGATCTATTATATGATCCCTACATCTCTCAGTAAATTGAAGAGCTGGATCTATGATCCTGATGGATATGAGAATCTGTGGGAGCAGATCTGGATCCATCTTCTCAGATCCATGTACATGCCTGTGTGGGGATCGCTCATTGTCTAGGAAAATATCACTCCCACATGGATATCCAGCATACCATTCTGGGGCATTACATGTTTCCTGCTCAAAAGGCCCACTGACCCTTACCATTCACATTTCGCAGTAACTATAGTTGGCGACAGCACAATGCCCCTGCTGGTGCTGGGGAGAGCTGGTGCAGCGGCCAGCCTGCGCCGCTGTCTGGTGAGCAGGCGATCTGCCCACCGCGCCTCGGTGCCCACTGAGATGTCCGCTTGGCAGATCCACCGCTATGGAGGTCCGGAAGAGCTTCAGGTAGGTGAAAGCAGAGACAAATAAAGATGGCTAATGTGGCTCTTTGTAAGGCACCAGTTGTGCCAAAAAAAGTTGGGCACTTTCATGTAAAGTATGAAATTTGTATGTGAAACATTTGTTTGTTATTGAATCAGTCATAATTGTAGCTGAAATATGATAAATTTACCTTCAAAATCCTCTATTACCCATATGCATTTTTTATATATAAATTTTGTCCAAATGGCTGAAAGGGCGGATTTGAGGAATCAGAGCCCGCACTAAGCATAGCTTGTTGTGCTGACCCTGACCCCACCACCCGATCGCGCAATTTCAGTTGTATGGCAGAATTTTGTCCGAACGTTTAACGTGCCCTCACGACTGGACACGGTCCCCTCCGCTCACTCACGTTACCTGGCTTTTATGCGGCCCCTGCCACAGACACGCACGCCATTATACGTAGGAGCTAAATGTGGCCGCCCGCAACGGGGCTTGAACCGGGCTCTCACTTCCGGCAAAGCGTCGAATTCCGGCGCTTTTATCCACTCGGCCACGGAGAGGACCAAGAGCATTGGCTGGCTATCTTGCTCCTGAACCTCGTTTCATAAAGCGAGTCCCTAACTTATGCCATTTCTTGGCCTTGTATTGCAAATGCATGTGAAGCAATACATTTATTTCCCCTTCTCCCTTCTGTTCTTGCTTGCAAGATGCATAAATTCAACGATTTAAACTATCATCGCTTCACATGCACTTGCAATACAATACAAAAAAAAAAACGGTGTAAGTTACGGACTCGTTTTATGTAACGAGGCCCTGGAGTGAACAAAAATGTGTGTTAGTCAAAGGTGCCAGCCTGCAGTGATCTGACTGCCACCAAAGTGTCACCTGCTGGAATGTGTGCTGACGATGCTGCCACCTGTTTCAGCTGACCACCTCCCATCGCCTGCCGACCATCACTCAGCCCACCGAGCTGCTGATCAAGGTTCATGCTGCCAGCATCAACCCCATTGATGTAGCCATGCTAGGTAAAATGACTACTGCTTGTGTGAGTGATTTACAGCCAAGCTCAACATCAAGTCTTATTTTAGTTTGATAAAATCTTTGGCCCTCCAGCTTGTCAGTTACCTACTCAACATGCTCAGTGATTAATGATGCCTTGGGCTCTATTTGCTGATACTAAAGGCCGTTTTTGATGTGCAATGTGCTTCTATTACCAATGATGCCCCTGGTGTCAACACAGATAAACTTTACATTGACACATTTCTCAACAGGTACAGCCCACCGCTAAAGTAATGTGTGGTTTTACCAATCTCAACGGATGGCTTTGACCGACGATTTTTAAATGCGAACTGATTGTAAAGAAGACGTCAATAGATACAGTTGTAGCTGCAAGGGTGAAGATACATTTAAGCTACATTTAAAGTCTCGTTGCAATCTGGCTAATCGTTCCTGGGCTTCAGAAGCAGAACATACCCATGACTGAAACCACACATTACTTCTGCTGTGGACTGTACGTTTCATAACATACCATACATTTCTCACACTTTATCCCACCTCTACAGTCCACTGACACCTCTGCCCCTCTGCTCCCGCAGGCGGGTACGGCAGCACCACCATGAACCTGATGCGCCAGCTGTGCGGCACCCTGGAGTTCCCTCTGACGCTGGGCAGGGACGTGTCCGGAGAGGTGGTGGCGGTCGGCGGCGGCGTCAGCCAGTTCCGGCCCGGCGACCAGGTGTGGGCGGCCGTCGGACCGCAGCGCCAGGGCACCCACGCCGAGTACGTCGCCGCCGCCGCCGGCAGCGTGAGTGGAGGGAGGGAGGGGGAGGAGTCAGCGCTTTGTTTCTGGGGTGATTTACAGGTGGATTGGTTGCCCTTTCACGCCGATTTTCGACAATTTTCGGAAATTTGTGCATCTCCATACGCTACTCTCCGTGACAAAGTACGAATTTGTAATAACGTTACTTTATCGTGGCACATTGCAGTTACAAGTATATCTATCACCCTAGTATATCTGCGCCCAACGGGTCAGTTATTGCGCTAAACCATTGCCGTGGTGTAGTTAGGTCAAGTTCCGTTTCCTTTCCTCGCATTGCTTACCCCGAGTTTGCCACCATCCCCGCCAGGTGTCTCTGAAGCCTCGCTCGCTGTCGCACGTCGAGGCGGCCTCCATACCGTACGTCGCCGCCACGGCCTGGTCGGCGCTGGTGGTGACTGGCGAGCTGGTCTCGGAGGGCACCCGGCGGGACCGGCGCGTGCTGGTCTGCGGGGCCGCGGGGGGAGTGGGCTCGCTGGCGGTGCAGCTGCTCAAGGCCTGGGGCTGTCAGGTGAGCGAGGGGAGAGGAGGAGAGTATGTAGGGAGGGAAGGTGGGGGACTACTGGAGAGAAGACGGTAGATCGGGCGAAGGGGGGTTGAATGATCGAAAGTGTGAATATCGAATGTGCTGCTAGCCTGCGACCATGCTTGATGCTGGGTTCTTTGGTAGGACAGCACGCTATGCTGTAGGTCAGAGTTTTGCATGTTTGGAGAGTTGTGACGGATACTTTTATGAACCATGGAGATGTTGCATATGCCATACTACGTGTGGTTTAGAGGGGTCTGACTCAAACCTTATGACATGATGTGGCATGTAAGTTAACCTGAAAGACAATCCACAAATGCTGTCTGTGAGGGTAGCATTTGTGCTTTATTCACACAATGTGCCTACTGCGTGATTGCGGTACCCTGACGTGTCGTCATGCCGTCATTGTGACGTGTCCAGGTGACGGCGACGTGCGCCACTGACGCCGTCGAGCTGGTGGAGTCGCTCGGCGCGGACGTGGTGGTCGACTACACGGCTCCGGACGCTGACGAGCACCTGAAGCTGATGCAGGGGTGAGTGGGCCGCAGCTGGACGGGCGGTGGTACAGAGTTATCCAGAGTTAACTGCGCTCAGTTTCTATGTTTTTGGGCCCGTTCCATACTGCTATTGCGTACTGCTTATGTGTACCATACCACAGCCCGGAAAATAGTGTTCGAAGCTATTTGGGAAGTATAGCACACTAAGTTATATCAGTTAAGGTAATGTTTTAGCTGGCTGCTCTTCATGTATCAGTGCTGGTTTATCAAGTCAGCTACATCAAGTCAGTGACCGATGTCGTACGGCGTGGCACTGGTATCCTGAGCGGTTTAAGCCACAGTAGACACTCGCTGCCCAGGGACACACTGACAATACTGGTGCAGGCTCTGGCGGTGTCTATTGTCCGGTATTGTATCAGTGTCTATGGCTGCTGCGGTGTGACCCAGCTGTCCAGAGTTCAGAAGCTACTGAACTTCGGTGCTCGGGTGGTGTCTGGCCGACGTAGGTATGACCATGTCAGCGATGTCATGAAGACCCTGAAGTGGCTCTCTGCTGAGAACTTGTGGCGGTTTCATTCGGTGACTCTGCTCAAGAGAATGCTAGCTACGGGACAGCCTGAGTCGCTGCGTGAAGGCATTGTTACCCGCCGCAGTGTTCATGGTAGGGAGACCCGCCAAGCTGACTTTTTCGAGACCCCAGCGATCCGCACAGAGTCAGGCCGCCGACGGTTTCTTTATTCAGCCGTGACAACATACAACTCACTGCCACCAGCCTTGCGAGGCCTGGGGCCGCGGCAGTTCAAAGCCCAGTACCGAGCACTGCTACTCCGAGAGCAGTATGGCGATGAGGACCCGTGAGTGTGTTTTGTATGCGTGTGCTAAGAGCGAATGTTTTATCCATCACATCTTCCAAATGACATGACGCCCGGAATAGCCGTTCTCGAATGGATGGGTTTGTCGCGGCGTGAAATAAATAAATACATCATACACATAGGTACCCGACCAAAAATGTCCAGACTGCATTAGTCTTTAACGTGCTGGTTCCTCCAAATTCCTTCTCGACCGTACACGCCCGTAGCGCCCTGTGAGCTGTCTGTGAGCGCTGAAACGTCTCCGTAACCCGCGTGGCAGGTACGACCTGATCCTGGACTGCAGCGGCGGGCATGGCGAGCGGCACATCCCGCTGATGAAGCCGTGGACGTACGCCAAGTACGTGACTTTGTCGCCGCCGCTGCTGAAGAACATTGACGCCGACGGACTGGTGGCCGGCGGTGTGAGGAACCTGGCCGAGCTGGTTCAGAGCAACATCAGCAGCCACACGCAGGGCAGGAGCCACAGGTTAGAGACGGACAGCTCACAGTCAGGGCAGGAGTCACAGGTTAGAGACGGACAGCCCACAGTCACAGGGTCACGGGCTAGAGACGGACAGCTCACAGGCACAGGGGTCACAGGTTAGAGGCGGAGCGACACACTTGCAGCCACAGGCTAGAGACGAACGGGACGGACTGGCAGTCACGAGAGCCAAATGCTAGAGACGAATAGGACATACTAGGATAGTACCCGGTTACGTAAGGTAGAAATTACAGTCAGATACAAAGAATGATGTGGCGCAGACAGTTACATAATAGAGCACAAGCTAGACAATATTGTGCTGGTAGTGTCGAGAGCGTTCCTTTCATGTTCACTCACCGCTGTTTTTATTAGTCATTTCCACGTTCCTTTTGAAAGTCACAGAGAACACTGGCGCTCTGAAACCGCACACCAGTCTGGTACCAATGTCTGATTACCCAATTGCGCTCCGTTTCACAGATGGGCGTTTTTCATGCCTAACGGCTGTGCGCTCAGTCAGGTCAGGGACCTGGTTGACGACGGAAAGGTGGGTCAAATATCAAATTAATCTCCACTCTGTGTTGCTACGTGGGTGATATGGAATAATGGACGCAGTTATATATGGCCAGTTAATCAATTTAAAGGGATTGCAGCGGCAAATGTAACTAAGCCGGCTAATACAGGTGCAGTCCTTGAATTATACTGTTGCGGGGGATAATGCCAGCCATATATATGATACTGGTGATGCGTTCGATAACGTGTGTCTGATCGCAGTGCCTGTATTGGTGCTAGTGCCGTCATTGTGTCCCTGCCGCCCAGATCCGGCCGGTGGTGCAGCGGGTGGTGCCGTTCGAGCTGGTGCCGGACGCGTTCGTACAGCTGCAGGGCGGACACAGTCGCGGCAAGACGGTCATCCGGGTCGTGGACGAGCCGCCCGCGCCCTCTGAGCCGCCCGAGACGGACACGGGCGCGCCCAGCAGCGACAGGAGCGGCGCCTAGTGGCTGAGTGGTGAACTGCGGGCCGCCGTGCCAGCCCTGTAAACGTGGACGTGGAGTGAACTTGTACAGCTGTATTTGTTGTATTTGTGCTGCTGTAGTGACTGACTTGCCTCAAAGGTGTTCGGTGTTTGGTTGATGTCGTGTGATATTACGCCAGCAGCAGATTCAACTTGCTCATGACCTGGAACAGGCCCACAATAATGTAGCAAACAATGTTTCAACACGGCTGCCAGGGCCGTGCTGCTTAGTACGCGATTTGAAGCAGATGTTAAGTTGAAACTCCGAATTGCTTACGTAATGTTTGCTAGACTTCACCGTTCTCCGAAAATGAGTAAGCAGTTGACGGATTTACGTTTTCATTGGCACCAAAACATAATTTTTACGGCTCATTGTGAAAGATGGCTCACTATGCTGATGCTGTCGGTATAGCAATTATGTCCGAAGCATTTATGTTTTTGTGATATGCTTATTTGTAACGGAACGATAATTTGCTACCTCATGCTCTGGATTTTTTTAGCTCGCATTTAATGTCCACGGTCCATTTTTTATGGCTCAATGGCTGCATATATCAGACAGTGGTGTATTCACCACTCTCTAAGAGTGATGAATGCTTCCAGGGCAAGGGGTACAGAAATCTCCAAACACATGTCGATATGACGCTGGTTAATATTTCTCCGGATGTGCCGGGTGGCAGGTGCTCGTGTTGTTTGTACTGATTCCGTGAGGAAAGCTTTTCCGGAGAATATTGCGGCTTCCAGAGCCTCGTTGAGTTTTGTCTTGCCATGGAAGCTTGTGACATCAGCCGGTGTTAGAGGGATTTCAAAGCATTGAAAGTCCCTGTCGTGTTTCCACCGTCTGAGTGTTTGCAGTGAAACTGTGACTGACAACTGTTGGACGGGATGAGCGTACCTACAAGAGCTGAATAAATGGTGGATGAATAAGCGTAAACCGTTTTGGCTGAGCAGTGAAAAGTCTATCCAGTTGTCTATTACCCATGGGACAACTGCTGTCACTAGAATTGTATTAAAAAGAAAAGCCAGGAAAGTTCTGAACATCAAATAACTGAAGCATTATGCTTATGAAGTCATGTACAACTGGGAGTTTAGACGTATATTTTAAATCACCTGAAGCTCACTAATAGAAACACGAGCTTGTATTTAAATTTAATTTGTATTTATTTAATTAATACCGTCAACAGGCACACGACCAAATGATAGACGGTGCGGGTGCCGCATAAAGTACGAAAATGGCTTCAGAATGTATAAAATATCACATCATTCTGTCCCTTCGGCTTGCTGGCTCCAAACTGTCCTGTCAGAAGACAGTGGTCATTTCGGTCCCGTTGACTTATTCAGCGTGGCTAGGCATCGCGGTGGGTGTGCCGTTCCCACTAAACAGACCACATACAACATACATGGAACATAAATGTCGCTTTGCTATGGGTCTGGCGAGGCTGCGGCAGAAATGACGACTCCATTACTCTCCGTCATTGTATGGGCGGTTTGGTCTACGGGCGACGAAGGTTTTTATTTTCTTATAGTCCCTTCCGGCGGCTGACAAGTGTGACGTAAGATTTGAGTACGTCGGTAAAGTCGAATTCATACAAGAACGAAGGGTCTAGGAGTATAGATTATCAGCAATTACTTAAAGTCTCTTTGTCTACGATGCATTATTGATTCCTATTTCCTAGTCATGCTAGAAGTCAGTCATGCCATGCCAAATTCAAATTATTGCCAAGATAAAAGGTGCGCCTTTTCAAATGAATGTGTTCAATGCTTGTTCATGTTACCTATACCTAATAATGTAACAAATTAAGATGCGGGTAATAGCTGTGTTATGTTGAATATAAGTCATAAACCAAAATAATCAGCGGACTAAGCGCTGTCGCCTGTCGGACACGTACGCATCACGCAAGCACAGCTACTACCGTTGAAACCCATCATTTATCTGGCATTTCTACTTGCATCCAACCATGTCAGCCCACAATTTACGACTGTTCTGTCCCGGCAGCTCTCCGCAGTGAATAGCCGCCCAAATATGTTCCGCTGTTCAGTCTCGGCGCGCCCATTGCCGGGCTCCATCTCGGCGGAAACGGTCGGTAATTTGGGGCGTCACATCTCCGCCGGCGGTCCCTGTGACCAGCGCTAATGCGCCAGTGGACGGCATCTATTGCCGCCGCCCACAGACGCAGCGCATTTGTCCCGTCTGGGCAGAGCAGAGAACGACGGAGACGGCGGTTTCCCCACCGCTACCGCCGCCACCGCCACCGCCGCTGCCCGACCGCCGCTGTCTCCGCCCGTTATGACGACATGCGCCGTCAATTATGCAGATCCAAGGCTCGGGCCCGTCGTCCAGCCATCACTGCCGAACACTGCCTATTGCCGGCCCGCTCCGTGCCGCTACTGCGGGGAGGGAGGGAGGGAGAGGGACAGAGAGAGAGAGAGAGAGAGAGAGAGAGAGAGAGAGAGAGAGAGAGAGAGAGAGAGAGAGAGAGAGAGAGAGACCTTCGGCATGGCTGATTTCTCACGTTTTATAAATGTTAGTAACACTAATCGGCAGCCGCCGCCGCGGCCGGGCGAGACCCGCGCGCCTGCCGACTGGAGGCAGACTGTGCCGCACGACACGAGTGTGCTGCGGCGCAGTATAACATTTCGAGCGGTGAGCGGCTCGCGCCGTTGAACGATTATAGAAGATAGTTATTTACCTATATGGAGTCGGAGTGTGATGATTTTGATTATCTTATACCACGTATGTATACGTTTTGCATATCTGTGGTATTCAACAAAGCCGACGGCTTGACTAAGCAGTAAGAACCGACTAGTCATATCCGAGAGCTTTGAGGGTCGTGACAGTTAGCTGTATCATCAATAGTATGGGTCTGGATCCAAACCTATGCGCTGCGGCCCCCGCATGTGCGGTGTGCATAACGCAATTGAAAATAATCGAATGATGATTGATGATTGATTGAACTGTCAAAAAGTTAAAAGGCATCCCCACTCAATCCAAGTAACGTAATGAATTAATGATTGTGGATGAATAAATGCATTTATCTCCCTGTTTGTCACTAGCTGTTCTAGATGCTTTCTTCAACTAACATAGTTTCATAAACACAATTAAAGCCAGCTTTTCGCTAATCCTCAAATCCAATTTCCGGCTCTCGCTAAGAAGGCACGATGCCACTTTTCAAACCATATTTATTTGTTTGTCTTCAAAGCCGTGAGGTACCGCGGTGGGGCGGGCGGCGCCGCCGACACTCCCCGGCCATTGAAACTGCCGGGGCTCGTGCGGCTCCCCGAGGCGCCCGTCCCGACAGACTATGGAGAAAAAATACGGAACTATTTGTCCACAGCGGCGTCGCCCGTTTACTGCTGTATTCCGTCGTCTGTTTCTGCCCGGGTCCGCCAGAGGCGCTGGCATCGGTCGTCGCCGTCGACACCGACACTCGACTGGTGGCGGCGGCGCGCGCGAGACGGTACCGGTGGACGCGTCACCGACGTCAGGTGACGGACGCAGCCGGTGACGCCGTGACGGTGACGTCAGTGTTATCCGGTGTGACATGCGATAGTGGGACAGACGCTGACGATGCCAGAGCTCCGTACGATGACCTGGTGTTCACTGCGACAGAACAGCTCTGCGCTCCTGCTCCTCATCTCTTTGAATGTGTTTTTCCATAAAGGTAAGTTATTTGTTGTTGTTTCTTGTGATGCATAGCCTGTGCCGTTTGCGTGTAGATAGTAGATGAGCATGACCATTGACAATAGCGTATTTATTTCCGCTCCATATTTTGAATGACTCAGACTCATGACTGAAAAACAATAGATGCGCAAATCATATTAATTAGCATGTTTGGTCTAGAGAAGCTCGCTGTTTTGATGGCGTGTTTAAGGTAAAAAACAAATTTTGAATATTTTTTTTAGAGAGAGAGAGAGAGAGAGAGAGAGAGAGAGAGAGAGAGAGAGAGAGAGAGAGAGAGAGAGAGAGAGAGAGAGGGAGAGAGAGAGAGTGTGTGAGAGTGAGAGAGTGAGAGAGAGAGAGACCTTCGGCATGGCTGATTTCTCACGTTTTATAAATGTTAGTGGATTGCCGTATTTTCTCTGAAGGTGACAAAGCCTTTGGATAAGTGCTGAAAAGTGAGCAAGCCATAGCAATGCTATCCGATTGTTGGTTGTAATATATGGCTTGCTCACTTTTCAGCACTTATGGCCGGGGGGATTCAGGGCGTCGCAAGTCCATCTACGACACGTCGCAAGTTACGACACATGTCCCGTCGCAAGTTGTGTCGTAGCGAAAAAGGAGGGATGTTGAGGAAAGAGGGGTTTGTCGGAGGATACGACAGAACGTAGCTGCGACAAGGTTTAAATACCCGCTTTACTCGAGAATTTAAAAGGCTACACGATCAGCTGATCCCGTAGTAAGCGTCAGTAAGGTCGAAAACTCTATCAAGCATAAAGGAACATTCGCCCTTCTGGTTTGCGAGCTTATGAGACAGCCAGTTCAAGCATGTTCTCTGATGCTGAAGCTTTGTCTCAACTGGGTGACTTGTGGTTGCTAACGCTCACGTGAGTTGCCATGAATTTTGGGATCGATCACAGGAGATTCGTGGCGCTATAGGGCATCTAGAAGCGATGCTTTAGAAGAAATGAGTTAAGAGAGTATGAGGTCACAGAGAGTTAGTAGAGTTGGAGATTGAGGTCACAATTGGAAGTTACAGAGGTCATCTGGGACACTTCAGGTCACGGAGGTCAATTTGGGGTCATCACAGAGCTCAATTGGAGGTCATCTGGGACACGTCAGGTCACAGAGGTCAACTTGGGGCCACCACAGAGCTCTATCGGAGATCACGCAGGTCATCTGTGACACGTCAGGCTACAGAGGTCAACTTGGGGTCATCACAGAGCTCAATTGGAGGTCATCTGGGACACATCAGGTCACAGAGGTCAGCTTGGAGTCATCAGAGAGCTCAATTGGAGGTACGGAGGTCATCTGGGACACTTCAGGTAACAGAGGTCAACTTGGGGTCATCACAGAGCTCTATTGGAGGTCATGGGGGTCATCAAGGGACACGTCAGGTCACAGAGGTCAACTTGGGGTCATCACAGAGCTCTATTGGAGGTCACGGAGGTCATCTGGGACACGTCAGGTTACAGAGGTCAACTTGGGGTCATCACAAAGCTCAATTGGAGGTCATCTGGGACACGTCAGGTCACAGAGGTCAACTTGGGGTCATCACAGAGATCAATTCGAGGTCATGGGGGTCATCTGGGACACATCGTTTTTAGAATTTGGAGAATCTTTTGGGGGATGCTCCTCGCAACGTCCAAGACCGCCTTTCTGGATTCGCCAGTAGTTGCTGGAATGGTGTTAGGCTACTTCATATCCATGAATACCCCAATAAATGTGAATATAACATATTATGCACCATGTTCAACACTCTCGCTGGCGCGGATTGAGGCCTCATAGACGAACCGTTGGTTCTTGCTTTATAACTCGCGTTAGCGGCAACGGATTGCAACGAAATTTTCAGGATCTCAAGTTTCAACAATTTTCCACGTACCATGCAAATTTCGTGACCATGACCCCAATGACCTGTGACCTGTGACCTCTCCCTCAAGGCCATATCAACTTGCGACACAACTTACGACTGCTATTTCAAATTCGTAAGTTGTGTCGTAAATCAGGCACTTTGAGATAGACTTTACTTCTTAAGTAACGCTACTCATCAATTGATCCCTCCAAAAACGACTTACTACACAACTTGCGACACGTCGCAGCTGCGACGAGGCTTACGACGCTCTGGATCCCCCAGCTAGAAGTTGCAGGCTTAGCGTTCGTGTAAGAAACTACGAATGAACATTACATGACCTTCTGACTATGATATTCAGATCAGCGCTGCAAAACGCATATGAAGCATTTTAGTGTTGCTTAACATTATATGTAAGTACTACCGCCACTTTTATGCAATGAACTGGTAGGTTTTCATTTCTGTTTCAAGCAACACACATTTTCCGAAGGCCTTTGCAGTATCTCAGCACACTATAAACCATTTATATGCCATGCCTTCCAATAATTCCATTGGAGCTGTTCTTTTTTTTTTGTCCGCTTATCCTAACACAATTTGTGTAAGAGGCGCATCACTATGATGGGGTTGTGCCATCCTCAGACTTATTGTATTTTTGTCATTCATTTTGCAAGAAAGGATGGCTGCGACCTCAGCAAAAACACAAAATACAAAAAAAAAAACAGTGTCCACGTTTGTCAAGCTTTGGCGAATGACCTTTAGTTGTGCACGGCGTTGTGCGGTGACGGTATGCCTGGGATACCTTAGGCACTTCCACCCGCCGTGACCTGCGGGCCTCAAATCACGGAGGCGTGCTGCGGGGGTGACAGAAGTCCGCCCCTCCAGCTCGGCACGGCCGCCGCAACAGCCATCACCGCCGCCGCTACCGCCGTCACTCGAGAGAGCCGTTTGATCGATTCCGACCATACAGACTGATGGTGTCGGCCCGCTCGTATTCCGTCAGCGCCGACTCACTCAGTCGGGGTCTCCCTGGGGACCTTCACACTGAACTGGGCAGAATGGCGAGCCTGAAATATGCACTGTTCGACAACGCAACGGTCTGAAATATGCACTACACCGCACACATGTATTTGAAAAATGACGCACTCGACTCGCACTTCTTGTACATGACAGTGCAGTCACTATTGTCCATGAACAAACTAACGGGGTACTCGATGTGGGCAATGGGCATGTACCTATGTTTCTGGACCGTTTAGGAAATAATAGCTTAGACCCAGTGGCCAGTGCAATTCGCTGATGCGCTGACCGCCATTACTGCTCGTTTTTATCGTTCGGCATTAGGCTCATGACTGGTTTCGTCGAGTGCCCGAGTGAGATGGATCTGCGGCCATTAGCCAGATCAGTGGACAGAGATGGCCAGTCGGCCCCTGTTCCCCGGGCGGCGTGGCGCCGCTGTGGTGTTTTCGGCCGATCGGAACTCGGCGGGCCCACTGTGCCATCAGTCTCCCGAAGCCACCGAGAGGGAGGCGGCTGTGGACACTGGACACTGGACACTGGACAGTCGCTGTCGACGGAAAGCCAAGAGTTACTGTCGACGGAAAGCCGAGAGCTGCTATCGATTGTGAGAGAACACTGAACAGGCCCTGTTGACGGGATGTCGAGAGTCGCTGTCGGCCGACGGTGAGAGTTCCTGTCGATGACAGCTGCAGGATTGTAGCTGACTCGAGTGAGGTGGAAAGAGGCCTTGTTGACGAAAGGTGGAAGGCTGCATCCAATGAGATTGCAGAGTTACTGGTGATGGTGTGAGAATAGTTGCTGACGACGTGAAAGAAAGTGAAGTCCGCAGCAGTCAACTTTAACCTTACCCCTGAGCATATGAGGTAACGAGCCAAACTGAAATTGTCAATGCCCTTTACGTGTCGTTGCCAGATATATGCCTTTTGAGCACAGCACTCAGCTCATTATAAGACGAAATGCAACTGGATTTATTTCCGGAAATCTTGCTATGCATTATGCATCCATACTTCTTTAGATATCTTTATGGTTAGAAAAACTTTTATAAATGTCAGCTTTTCTGGAGCATAAGGCATGTCACTCTGAAATTATAATAGGATAAGGTTTGAAAAAGGTTAGTGTGACTGGTAATTGCAGCTTTACATGACGATCCAATTTACGGAATAAGTTAGGCAAGTGCTTGCATGCTTGTCTGCCTAAAAGCAGCTCGTGACAAAACATGGTCCTTATTTAGAGATCTGTGCGATGACACGCCATCCGCTACTGGGAACTGCTCGTAACGTGTTTATGCTGCCTGATGAGTAGGCTTAGTGAGTAATAAGGGCTCTTAGCAACATGATGCCTGTCGCTAGAATAGCTTTAGTGAGCGCTGAAGAAAACTTGTTGCTGTTTGGAAGCGGCAAAAACTTGTCATGCTTCTTGGAATACCATGATAATTTTTTACAGCCACAAATTCAACACTGAAGAAGAGTTGAAAATAAGTGTCGCTTCGTTACAAAGTTTCTGTCAAATGATCGTAAGAGTATCTTGCAGTAGTTTTGAAGTCGTTGTCGACATTAGCTATTGAAAGGTTACCAGATAGTTATTACATTATTGCATTGAGTGCACGTCTGCAATCCATTATGGCACAGTTGGCAGTTTTTTTCCAAAGTTATTTTCATTTTTGTTTTGCATCGTAACTTACTTCATGGCTGTGCTACGGTCTGCTACAGTCTACACTCACTGAGTACTCCAGCTCTGCCCACATCCAGTCCTATCATCATTCCCATGGGTGGTGATAATCGCCAAATGTCTCGGCATCATATCACATCAGCATAGACGAGTGAGGATGTGCCTCGCACACAGCACCCCACCCATTGCTCACCCCTGGTCCCGCCGCTGCCCGCTCCACCATCCCACCCCCTCCCCCATCAGAGCCGGCGCGGCGGGGACTATAGGGCGACTGGAAAGGATCGGTCACACACCGCCAACTATGCCCGCCGCTAGTCGGCCATGCATCTCGGGCCAGCGACATTCGGATCCGGTGTACCACAGCGCCGCTACAGCTCCCTGTCTGCCGGAAAATCCACCGCCTCTCGCAGCGGATCGCACAGAGTAAGGCGATGTTAATTACGGTCTGAATGGTGATGCATCATCAGTAATCC